CCCCACCACTGACTGGTGGGACAAACATCAGCCCCACCACTGACTGGTGGGACAAACATCAGCCCCACCACTGACTGGTGGGACAAACATCAACCCCACCACTGACTGGTGGGACAAACATCAGCCCCACCACTGACTGGTGGGACAAACATCAACCCCACCACTGACTGGTGGGACAAACATCAGCCCCACCACTGACTGGTGGGACAAACATCAACCCCATCACTGACTGGTGGGACAAACATCAGCCCCCACCACTGACTGGTGGGACAAACATCAACCCCATCACTGACCGGTGGGACAAACATCAGCCCCCACCACTGACTGGTGGGACAAACATCAGCCCCACCACTGACTGGTGGGACAAACATCAGCCCCCACCACTGCCTGGTGGGACAAACATCAACCCCACCACTGACTGGTGGGACAAACATCAGCCCCCACCACTGACTGGTGGGACAAACATCACCCCACCACTGACTGGTGGGACAAACATCAACCCCATCACTGACTGGTGGGACAAACATCAGCCCCCACCACTGACTGGTGGGACAAACATCAGCCCCACCACTGACCGGTGGGACAAACATCAGCCCCCACCACTGACTGGTGAGACAAACATCACCCCACCACTGACTGGTGGGACAAACATCAACCCCATCACTGACTGGTGGGACAAACATCAGCCCCCACCACTGACTGGTGGGACAAACATCAACCCCACCACTGACTGGTGGGACAAACATCAGCCCCACCACTGACTGGTGGGACAAACATCAACCCCACCACTGACTGGTGGGACAAACATCAACCCCACCACTGACTGGTGGGACAAACATCAACCCCATCACTGACTGGTGGGACAAACATCACCCCACCACTGACTGGTGGGACAAACATCAACCCCATCACTGACCGGTGGGACAAACATCAGCCCCCACCACTGACTGGTGGGACAAACATCACCCCCCACCACTGACTGGTGGGACAAACATCACCCCCCACCACTGACTGGTGGGACAAACATCACCCCCCACCACTGACTGGTGGGACAAACATCAGCCCCACCACTGACTGGTGGGACAAACATCACCCCCCACCACTGACTGGTGGGACAAACATCACCCCCCACCACTGACTGGTGGGACAAACATCACCCCCACCACTGACTGGTGGGACAAACATCACCCCACCACTGACTGGTGGGACAAACATCACCCCCCACCACTGACTGGTGGGACAAACATCACCCCACCACTGACTGGTGGGACAAACATCACCCCCCACCACTGACTGGTGGGACAAACATCACCCCCCACCACTGACTGGTGGGACAAACATCAGCCCCACCACTGACTGGTGGGACAAACATCACCCCCCACCACTGACTGGTGGGACAAACATCACCCCCCACCACTGACTGGTGGGACAAACATCACCCATGCTCACAGTTCACTCCCACACAACTTCAGAGTCAAAGGGAAGGTTTGACGCAGAAATAATTATAATTATGAAGTTTCAATGGATGCCACGATCGGGACTGCCTTTTGACACATGGATTTGTACCTTTTGACTGTTACTGTGAATCAAGTCCAGTCATCAGGTGAGCGATGCAAGAGGAACATTTCATTATACAGTACCGGGTGGTTCAGAATTTTCCATACATAGGGAAGATTATTTCCATTTATCAGAGTGAACTTTATTCTCAAAATATTGTTTATATTGTTGCCACTGCTTTGAAAACACACGAACGCGACTCTCTCTGGTAACACCATCTTGTGTCGTGCATGACAGTGTATAACACTATCTGGTGTCGTGCATGACAGTGTATAACACTATCTGGTGTCGTGCATGACAGTGTATAACACTATCTGGTGTCGTGCATGACAGTGTATAACACTATCTGGTGTCGTGCATGACAGTGTATAACACCATCTTGTGTCGTGCATGACAGTGTATAACACCATCTTGTGTCGTGCATGACAGTGTATAACGCCATCTGGTGTCGTGCATGACAGTGTATTTCGAGTACACTCCACAAGGTGGCTAATGTCTCATGTAAAGAGTATATATAAAATTACACGTTATTAAACTCGAGATATAGCCATTACATGCGACACAATCAGGAAGAGCATTAAAAAGTTACTTTTGCCTATGTGGTGACACGTTTGGAGCAGCCTTTATCATATAATACCATACTGGTCACTTACAGTGCTGTGGTTGATTATAAATGGTGATGCAAAGCTCTTTATCCTCACGCCACTTGTCTTGGACCCACCTCAGATGATATACGTCACTGACTGTATCTAAGGGAAGTATACGGCGATATGTCAGGTGTAAAGAAGCTGTATGTTGCAGTGTATGTACGGTTTTCTTTATAGGTTGTTGTACATGTACAGTTTTGTAAAATGGTTGTTTCTGTTTACACAGGTGTGTCGAGAGGTAGACACCTTCTGACCCCTGTTAACAGGTTGAGAGCTTTTCCCTCTCCACTGCTCGCGGTAAGCTCTACCCTGCAATTTTTCCCAGGAACACGGCCAGCCAATCGGTTAACAACTGGTACCCAATTGCATTTATATTTGTAGTACGTTGGTGAAGCATTTACAGCGTTGTGGTTTGAACAAAAGTGGTCAGCGAAGCATTTGTTCCGGAACTGTTCAGACGTCATCAGTTGTGAGTTGTGTGTAAACCGTTTTTCATTCATAAACAGGGGGTTTGGCTAGGGGGGGGGAGGCCTTTTGGCCTTTGTTGATGAGGAAGGGCCTCGGATTGGTACCCAATCACTCATCTCTGGCAAGACTGGAAACCAGAACAAAACACTCACAAGGCGAGTGTTACCTCTACACTACCAGAGACTTATTATACAGTACAGCTTTCATTATACATGTTCATATTGGCATATGTAAAAATTTCTTTACTGACCAACTGACCACTTGTTTGACTACAGCACTCGCTTAACTGCTGTAATAATAATCAAAAGGACTATCTGGTATTCTAACAAAACGAGCAACTAACTACCTTAGTGTATAAAGAACGTGTAGAGAATAAGAACATGGTGATTGAAGGACAAGATAACTGAGGGGACTTGAGTACCAACTACCATATTTCTCAGCCTGTCACGAGGTATTCACTCGACCAATACTCTTCCTTAGAGTGCCAGAGGGAATGTGAAAAAGGAAACCCACACTGTTATGTCAACAAATAACCCAACCAACACATATAAAATGAGATCAAAGCGTCGTGGTCACTTTAATTTCATTTCATATGTACTTGTTTATCTGGTCTAAATAAGCCGCCCGCCATATTCAAGGGGAATACCACTACCCCCTTCCCCCTTGAAACTGGCATACTCCCATCCCTTTGAAAGTGGCAATCTCCACCTCGTGCAACTGTCAAACCCCACTACTTCTTGCAAGTGATATATCTAGAGACATACTGCAAGCGACATATCATCACCACCCCATGCAAGTGCCAAAATCTCACCCATGCCAATGGTAAACCCCCCACACACACCCCATGCAAGTGACATACCACCACGCCCATGCACGCAAGTGACAAACTCATTTCATGCAAGTTGCAAACTCCCAGCCCCATTAAAGTGGCAAACTCCCACCCTATGCAAGTGTGGAACAGGGATATAATAATGCTGAAGATATTAAAAAAAATGTATATATATAAGTTCTATTATCAGTATAGCTAATGATGTTACAAAAGGACATATTTTATCATCAGTGTAGATAATGAGGGTAAATGGCACAAAAGGTAGCATTCAATCATTAGCGTAGATAATGAAGGTAAATTGTACAAAAAGGTCGATAATTAAAATATTTTCCCATGAATTTGCTTTTTAAATATCCCTAATGAGCTTGAATCATTACCTACATAATCCTTCATAGCTATGCTGGCTTAGCGAATCCTCTGTTGTCAATTATCTCAAATATACGCAAAATATGTGATCAAAATCTACTCTTACAGTAAGTGAAATATATGTAATACACTCTCCACCAAGTGTATAATTCTGGAATGCACACTTAAAGTAATCAGACTGTAATGTAACGCAATCACATTGCAGTGTGAACCTTTAGTTGGGTTTCACTATGCCTACAGCTAATCACAAGAGCTTTACGGATCATGAAAATCGTGGTATTTGTGTACTAGATCTTTATACAGCGTGAATTTCGTTTGATTTATGTTCTAGATATTAATAAATGTATATCTAGGTCCTGAACTTTAAACACGAAATGAACGGGACGAGACATAAGTAAGTTGTGTGTACTTCAGGATCTGTAATACACCAGGATCCGTGCCAGTTGTTTACCTGGTGAGTCAAAGGTTCTCCGAATACTCCGGAGGGGAAGGGGGGTGAAGAACGGTGAAAAGGATGGGGGAGGGAAATTGAGTGGGAAGGAAGGGAAGACATATTGGGGAAATGATAGGGGTAGATGGAGGGTAATATGGAGGATGGGGGAGTTGAGGGGTAGGATATTGAGTACGAATGGGGGAAAGAATGGGAGGGATTTGTTGATAGTTGGGGGGGGGGGGAGGAGAGTAAATATTAGGGCACAATGTTTTGAACATTAACATGTGAACTCTCCGAGCCTTTCCCAGACTCGATACCTAACACCCACCAACCAATTTATTTAATTTTATATTTTGGGGTCGGTATGATGCATGTGAAAACGAAACACAACTATCAATTATTCCAATTGAAAATAATGGCTATGAATAATCTCCTTTAACACAATACAAGAGAACTTAAAAGTTTTTACTGTCCTCATTTTCACACCAATCACTTCAAATTTTAATCCACAAAAGCCATCATTTTCAGGAGGAGATTGACCAGACTTGCCAATCAACTCCCAAAATGACTTTTAATGGTGCGCAAATGCAGGTGTGGAGAAAAATGGCGACGAAGTGGATGACCCAAAAGACTTTTTTAATTCTCATATTCCGAAAACCTGAACTTTTGTACTCATCTCGTAGCCGGAGAGTACCGAATGATGAGCCATGTGATGACAGGCCTTTACACTCCTCATTATGGCATGACAGGCCTTCACACTCCTCATTATGGCATGACAGGCCTTCACTCTCCTCACTATGGCATGACAGGCCTTCACTCTCCTCACTATGGCATGACAGGCCTTCACACTCCTCATTATTGCATGACAGGCCTTCACTCTCCTCACTATGGCATGACAGGCCTTCACTCTCCTCACTATGGCATGACAGGCCTTCACACTCCTCATTATTGCATGACAGGCCTTCACTCTCCTCACTATGGCATGACAGGCCTTCACTCTCCTCACTATGGCATGACAGGCCTTCACACTCCTCATTATTGCATGACAGGCCTTCACTCTCCTCACTATGGCATGACAGGCCTTCACACTCCTCATTATTGCATGACAGGCCTTCACTCTCCTCACTATGGCATGACAGGCCTTCACTCTCCTCACTATGGCATGACAGGCCTTCAGGCTCCTCACCATCGCAGGTATTAGTGTATGATTAGACAAATGATAATTCCATTGTAAATATCTTATTAGTTTCTGTAGCTGAAGAATGATTGAACAGTGACACCCTCTAGATTGTTATTTATACAATGAACACAATTCTGTCTACAACTTCAAATAGAAAGTTCTGAATGACGTCTCTATAACCCGTTAGCTTCTCCAATTTCTCTCGATATCCCATAATTCCACTAGTTCTCATTTTAAACATAATTTCTTTGCCAACTTTCCTGTTTAAGTCTAGGAATTTTGCATGCCGCTATCATGTCCCCTCAGGTACTTCTTTCCTCAACTGCGGAGTTTCAGTTCGCTGTACATTTTACTGTACAAGTCGCACAATCGACTTGAGAATGGTCCAGGACGGACCGAGGCGTCGTCGTCCCTTCACCTTCTAGTGTGTGGTCTGGTCAACATATTTTAGCTACGTTACTGTGACTCATCGCCTGCATTTTACTGTAGCTTATCTCTCAATTTCGGGACAGCTTTTGTTGCATATTTTTGTACCTCTTGTACGTGTGTGTGTGTGTGTGTGTGTGTGTGTGTGTGTGTGTGTGTGTGTGTATGTGTATGTGTATGTGTGTGTGTGTGTGTGTGTGTGTGTGTGTGTGTGTGTGTGTGTGTGTGTGTGTGTGTGTGTGTGTGTGTGTTTGTGTGTGTGGGTGTGCGCGCGTGCATGCATGCGCGTGGGTGTTTCCTACTTATCGCATGTCTGCTGGATATAAAGATCCAGTACCAGGAATCCAACTCTCTTTTTATTGATCATCTGGTGGAGGGAATTTCAAGTCTCTCACTCTTCGTGTCTTCTCCTCTTGAAGGTATAAATGAAGAATTGGCCTTCACCTCCAAGGCCATGATGCAGTTCAAGATGCTCTCTCTCCGTCACATCACATTCGTTTAAGATGGCCATATCATCCCAAATACAGTAATATTCAAAGAGCACGTTTTGGGTTAAAATTTGATTACAATGTATCATTTTTTCTAACAAATCGCCGTATTTCAAGGTTTGAGGAAACTTTAAGCGAGGGCAGTGATCAACTCGTCGAACTAGTGTCGCTTGTTTACGACTCCTAGTTTCACCTGGACGTTGAGTTGACGTTTCGGCTCCTGCTCCCCGGTGGTCGCCGGAAAACGTTTCGAGATTTATTCCTGTTGGGTTTCGATGCTGCCTGACGCACTCATCACATCGCGTCACATAGAAGTAGACTGATTTTTTTTTGTACGCTTTCCGGTTGGATCTTAGGGATGTAGAAAGAAAGCCGACCTGGCCGAGTGGTGCGGCAGTAGGGTGGTGTTTGTGGTGTCCGGGTGTACTCTCGGGACGTGGAGACTCTTCGCCGAAGGTCAGGAGGGGACGAAATTGTGTTTGTACTCATTTATGCGGTGGGGAGACTTTAGCAATTCTGGCTACGGCTTTTGTTTGGCTGCCAAGATTTCAACGGATGCTTAAAGCTGACATACTCTACAGCGACTCGGTCTCAACACACAGTCGTACAACACTTGCCGCACAGTGTTTACCTGCGACAACACAATGTTGTTTACTGCTGTCAGGCGTCGTACAACCCACAAGACTTCCAGGTTATCCTCGTCAAAGGAACGGCCATAATCTAACAACAACAACAACAACTGTCCATTTCTCAAATAAAACACACAAGCCTTTTCTTCCGCTTGACAATTAAATGGCCAAGGAAAACAAGTTTAATGTTTTTGCTCTCACCAACGATATATAAATAAAACTGTTTTCAAGTTCTCTTGCGGTTAAGAGAGGTTAAATTTCCTGCCATCAGAGCAAAGTCGACAGACGGCCAAAGTCTCTTAATCTGATGTCGACCAACCAACCATATCCCTTAATAGGTGTCAACCGACCATCCACATTTCTTAACATGTGTCGACCGACTATCAAAGTCTTTACAAGTGTTGAACAACCATCAGTCTCTTTACAGGTGTCGACTAATCATCCATGCATTATGCCTGTGTCAACCGACCATCCAAGTTTGTTGACAGATGACGACTGATCGCCGTAGTGTGCAGGTGCAACTCGTCCTCTCAAAAATAACGTCGCTTTTCGCTCGTATGCGCACTATGGCCAAAAGTGGACGTAATTTGAAATGAAATCGACTCACAAAAGTGACGTACTGTCCCGTTTTCAGTTTGAGTCGTCCGGCCGACTCGGAAAGGTTAGGAGAGGAAACTTTCAATTAACATTTTTCATATAAATTTGAAACTTTATGAGAATTTCCTGCCCACCTAACATACCAGACGATCCTTAACTTACTGTTGTTGAAAAAAAATCCCAAATTTATTTAAAAAAAATTCCATTTTCAAATTACGTCCACTTTCGGCCATACGGGCAAACTGCCAAAAGCGACGTTATTTTTAAAAGGACAGGCCGCAAGCCCACATGGCCTTCTCCCACTGAACACATGTTCTGCACAACTGGTGAAGGCGTAGAGACAGACTCCTTACACTCAATCCTTCTGTGAGGACGTTGCGCCATCTGTCAACCGCACCTCACCCGTTTTCTGTGTTCCCTTGTGGAAGGCTGTGGAAGGAATATGATTTTCTTTCCACAGAAAAGAAAATTCTTTCTTTCTTAATCCTTGAGAGGAGGCCAGCCAGTCATAATACTGCCGAGGACTGGCACGTGAATTGCTGGAAACGTGAACTCGCCGGCGTGAGTACCTTAGTAGAATATATGTACATATATATATATATATATATATATATATATATATATATATATATATATATATATATATATATATATATATATATATATATATATATATATATATATATATATCAAGAAGGGTGCCTCTTTAGTACAAGCTTGGAGTAGTTTCCTCAGAATACTTTCTGGCATGTCAAGAGGAGTACAGGCTGGATCACGATACACTCTGTCGGCTATCATTCCGATTGTCTCGTCCACAGGTACGTTGGTAAACAGCGATTCTACGTCCAACGAGGCTCTTATCCCTTATCTTATCAACGAGGCTCTTCTTGAGCCCGGATGGGCACATGTATAAGCAAGTAGATGGGGTCGCCATGGGTTCTCCCCTAGGTGTCCTGTTTGCAAACTTCTACATGGGTACCATCGAGCAAAAAGTCTTAGTCGACATGAACTTGAAACCGGCCATATACTGCAGGTATGTTGACGACATTTTTACACAGGTACCTGATGTCAGACATCTGCAGAAGCTGAAGGAGGCATTTGAGCAGAGTTCCGTGCTGCGTTTCACTTACGAGACGGAAAAGGATGGGAAGCTGCCTTTTCTAGATGTAACAGTCATGGAAAAGGGCGGAGGTTTCCACACTGCAGTCTACACTAAGGAAACAAACATAGGAATGTGCCTAAATGCCAACAGCGACTGCCCTGACAGGTACAAGAGGAGTGTTGTTAACGCATACGTCGACCGTGCTCTCAGCCACAGCTCAGAATGGAAGCAAGTCGACGAAGAACTCTGTAGGGTAAGGCAGGTCCTAGTCAATAACGGCTTCTCCAATGGTTTCATCGAAGACATCATAAGAAGGAAAGTGAAAAGCCATGCAACCTCTGAAGAGACAACTAACATAACACCTATACCCCCTATTAGACTATTTTACAGGAACTTCTTTTCCACAGCTCATAAAACGGAGGAAAGGGTCCTGAAAGATATTGTTAATAGAAACGTTATCCCTACAGACAAAAATCAGAGGATACAACTGACGATTTACTATAAAACCAGAAAAACGGCCAGCCTACTCATGAGAAACTCTCCAGACACAAAACAGAATGCTTTAAAAGAGACTAATGTCGTCTATGCCTTCAAATGCACACTTGGGGACTGTAAGCTCCAAAAAACCCAGTATATAGGCAAGACAACAACATCTCTTTCTAGGCGTTTAACGATGCATAAGCAACAGGGCTCCATTAAGGAACATATAATCTCTTCCCATAACCAAACCATCGCCAGAGAAATCCTAGTAAACAACACAGAAATCATCGATAGATACAGCGATAGCAGGCGGCTTGACGTTTGCGAGGCACTACACATCAAGAAGTCAACACCAGCAATCAACAGCCAATTATTGCACAACTATATTCTACCCACCTCAAGACTCCGCTCCAATATAGAAGCATCAAGAAATATGGACCAATAGGCTTTCTACAAACACTTCTATTCAATACCCATTGTTTCTGTTCTGTCTTGTGTTGATACTTTTAATACCCTATTAATATCCCCTCCTGTTCTGTCTTGTGTTAATGCCACATCACCCTTCCCACCTCACTCAAATGTAGATATAAAATCAGAGATACGTTCTAATCAGTTGTGTATTTGTGAAGTCTTTGAAAATGTAATAAGTTTTACGAAACGCGCCCGTGTCGCGTCAGACTAGAAATAAAAATTAATTTTGGAGAAGTGATTTTTGATTTACCTCCAACAGTGAAGCGTAATGTACGAAAGATTGAGAAAATTCGTGTTAGAATTATTAATCTTACTTTTTCGGTCATATTTAATAATATATGTCTACAGGAAAGACTGCTACCAAAATATACTAATATATATATATATATATATATATATATATATATATATATATATATATATATATATATATATATATATATATATATATATAACTGAAAACTCACACCCCAGAAGTGACTCGAACCCATACTCCCACAACTGGTATGTACAGGGACGCCTTAATCCGCTTGACCATCACGACCGGACAAAAGGAAGTGATAGCCGAGGCTATATGAACCACTTCCCCGCCGGCACTCGGATGGTAATCTTGGGCATAGCATTTTATCAAATCACCTCATTCTTTGGGGCACACGTGAGGAACACAAATGCAAACAAGGAACACAAATGCTTGTTTGCATTTGTGTTCCTCACGTGTGCCCCAAAGAATGAGGTGATTTGATAAAATGCTATGCCCAAGATTACCATCCGAGTGCCGGCGGGGAAGTGGTTCATATAGCCTCGGCTATCACTTCCTTTTGTCCGGTCGTGATGGTCAAGCGGATTAAGGCGTCCCTGTACATACCAGTTGTGGGAGTATGGGTTCGAGTCACTTCTGGGGTGTGAGTTTTCAGTTGTATATAGTCCTGGGGACCATTCAGGCTTGTTTGCATATATATATATATATATATATATATGCAACAATGATCACAAAAACACTGACCCAAGTATGCAGAATAACCACATATGAAAAATAGAAAATGCTTAACACGTTTTCGGCTAATTCGCCTTCATCAGAGCAAAATAGAATTCTACTTTGCTCTGATGAAGGCGAATTAGCCGAAAACGTGTTAAGCATTTTCTATTTTTCATATGTGGTTATTCTGCATATATATATATATATATATATATATATATATATATATATATATATATATATATATATGTCGTACCTAATAGCCAGAACGCACTTCTCTGCCTACTATTCAAGGCCCGATTTGCCTAATAAGCCAAGTTTTCATGAATTAATGTTTTTTTCGTCTACCTAACCTACCTAACCTAACCTAACCTAGCTTTTTTTGGCTACCTAACCTAACCTTACCTATAAATATAGGTTAGGTTAGGTTAGGTAGGGTTGGTTAGGTTCGGTCATATATCTACGTTAATTTTAACTCCAATAAAAAAAAATTGACCTCATACATAGAGAAAAGGGTAGCTTTATCATTTCATAAGAAAAAAATTATAGTAAATATATTAATTCAGGAAAACTTGGCTTATTAGGCAAATCGGGCCTTGAATAGTAGGCTGAAAAGTGAGTTCTGGCTACTAGGTACGACATATATATATATATATATATATAGGGGTACCACCTCTGGTGCAATTATAGGGACCCTCAGCCTCAGAGAAGGGAACACAGAGCATTCAGGGAAAAACTTGCCATTTAACTCTGAATACGTAAGAGTGTTCGCTTCTCCTACCACCCCCCTTTTTTATGGTGTACACTTTATTATGCAAGATATATATATATATATATATATATATATATATAATATATATATATATATATATATATATATATATAAGAACTTAAAAATGAAAGTAACTACAGAAGGCCTATTGGCCCATATTTTATCTTGCTGCCAAATCTTCTCGTTCCTCCACATCCTCCTCCCTCCTTGTATAATCCTAATCACCTTTTTCCTGATAAACACTTAACAATGCATATTTTTTTGAGGATGGGGTTGAACACAATCACGACCACAGACACGACCATTGGCACGAAAACGGGCACAAAAACGGGCACGACCACAGACACGAACACGGGCACGACCACAGACACGAACACGGGCACGACCACAGACACGAACACGGGCACGACCACAGACACGAACACGGGCACGACCACAGACACGAACACGGGCACCAGCTCAGACACGAACACGGGCACGACCACAGACACGAACACGGGCACGACCACAGACACGAACACGGGCACGACCAAAGACACGAACACGGGCACTACCACAGACACGAACACGGGCACGACCACAGACACGAACACGGGCACGACCACAGACACGAACACGGGCACGACCACAGACACGAACACGGGCACGACCACAGACACGAACACGGGCACGACCACAGACACGAACACGGGCACTACCACAGACACGAACACGGGCACCAGCACAGACACGAACACGGGCACGACCACAGACACGAACACGGGCACGACCAAAGACACGAACACGGGCACTACCACAGACACGAACACGGGCACCAGCACAGACACGAACACGGGCACTCCCACAGACACGAACACGGGCACCAGCACAGACACGAACACGGGCACGACCACAGACACGAACACGGGCACTCCCACAGACACGAACACGGGCACGACCACAGACACGAACACAGGTGTTAAATACATGTCAACTCGTAAAATGTATTACAATCAGGTATTACGTTTAGCGAGAATACGGAATATTCTGCCATATTCCAAATATGACAAAATATATTTAATATTACCAAATAGGATTTGCAGTTTACTGAAAGTAAGCTTGAGGGTGTAAACTGGCGTCAGTCTAGATTAATGCAGACCACAGTAAACCTCCATAAACCACAGTAAACTACTGTAAAGATCTCGCCACAGAGGTCTTTATCGTTTTCTCCGTTCCTCATCCCACCCTTCATTTCTTCCTCATTCTCCCCTTTTTTATTTCTCCCACCATTGTCACTTTAAATCCTCCTCAATACTCTTTATTATTATCCTTCTCAGTCCTTCATTCCCCATTCCCTTTTCTAGTTATCCTATTCTGCCTACCCTTCGTCGACCGGGCGATGAGCCTACCTTCGGAGACCTGCGTCAGAAGGTATTTATGGGCATCGTTCTGGTCACGCAAGAGCTTATCCACTGCACTTCTATCCACTCTCTCATCCATCATCTCCACGACTGTCCCGTCATCCCTCAGGACACCTCCAGCTCCATCCTTCACGGTCGTTAAAAGAAAGTTGTGGGTTTCTTTTTTCAGCATCGTTCCGTCATCTGGGAGCACGCGACAACATGCGCTCCTTCCAGCCGCCACCTCAAGCTTTCCAGCCACCACCTCAAGCTTTCCAGCCGCCACCTCAAGCTTTCCAGCCGCCACCTCAAGCTTTCCAGCCGCCACCTCAAGCTTTCCAGCTGCCACTTCAAGCTTTCCAGCCCCCACTTCAAGCTTTCCAGCTACCACCTCAAGCTTTCCAGCCGCCACCTCAAGCTTTACAGCCGCCACCTCAAGCTTTCCAGCCGCCACCTCAAGCTTTCCAGCTGCCACTTCAAGCTTTCCAGCCCCCACTTCAAGCTTTCAAGCTGCCACCTCAAGCTTTCCAGCCCCCACCTCAAGCTTTCCAGCTGCCACCTCAAGCTTTCCAGCCGCCACCTCAAGCTTTCCAGCCGCCACCTCAAGGTTTCCAGCTGCCACCTCAAGCTTTCCAGCCGCCACCTCAAGCTTTCCAGCTGCCACCTCAAGCTTTCCAGCCGCCACCTCAAGCTTTCCAGCTGCCACCTCAAGCTTTCCAGCCGCCACCTCAAGCTTTCCAGCAGCCACCTCAAGCTTTCCAGCCGCCACCTCAAGCTTTCCAGCCGCCACCTCAAGCTTTCCAGCCGCCACCTCAAGCTTTCCAGCTGCCACGTCAAATTTTCCAGCTGCCACCTTAA